CGGCCTTTTCTAACCCGGATCTTCACGGGTAATGTTTTTAATAATAAGTTACAATGAAATTATGTATATGTCCATAATAGGTGTGTATAAGTAAATGGATAATATATCCATACACGCCAATTAAATGTCTGCATATGGTTCTTTGATGAACTCTTTTACAAGTCTATATTTCAAGACATGTATTTGATATTCATAATAACTCCACAATAGCTACACAATGGCAACAAAACGGTACCAGCATCACATATATCTATATAATTACTTTTAGGTTAAATCATGTATCTAAATAGTAAATTAGAAGGATTAAAAATATACACTTCCGACATTTTTCGGGGTTTTTTTCGTTTGGAGAGAGGAGTAGTGACAGTAGTGACTGGTATCTGATGGGTGCAAACAGGTGTCGAGTGGCTGTCTCAGATGGCTCTAATTTCCTAGCTCTAAAGATCACGACGGCGATACAGACCGTGAAGTAGTTTGTCTCACAGTCCCTGAACCATATTATTTTCCCTTCCGCCCAGGCCTTACTGCAATGCTATAGCCCCAAATGAAACAAAGCCTAGATGTTCAACGGGTTCAGGCTGAAATTTCCATCTCACTTGGGCTCCTTTTGAATTGAAATATAGTTTCTCGTTTTAACCAAAACAATGTATTTTCAGACTAAGCGTTTGTCTAACCGTGAAGTACAACTATCCAAAAGATCCCATGCATGTCTATATTTCTTCAGACAGACTCTCCATGTTCCTATCTATATGTATCAAAAGACAAATGAATTAAATCTTACAGCACTGGTGAATAGGTTATATGCGCATGTAAGCGTCGATCTACAATATCGTTTGCGCAAAATACATATATACTGATGAATTAATGTAGTAACACTACGCAAATATATGCCCAGATGTATACATAAGTTTCCTCTCGTGATCTTTATTCGTGCTTTTAGCTCTTTTTCTACATTAGATTATGGGGTGTTACATCACACCAGAAAGCCAGGTCCAAATTCAAGTCATAATTTCATGGTCCTTCTTGTATGTTGGAAACCAATATCGCAACATGGCTGATTATTGCTAAACGTGGTATTAACCCGATTACACACATAATTATTCCATTTTCTTCGTGCACGTTCTACAATCATCTACGATCACTATCTATAAGGAGGTATATTCATCCAAATGTTCATACATATATGTCCACATACATATATGTATTAAGCAAGTCCCACATTCTTTCTTAAACGATAAATGCTAAGCATTTCCTCTGTATGTATTTATATATGTAAAAATCGCTTTTATGTCAACGCTGATGGAGTATACGTACCACAGACCTGATGCTAGAATAACATCTAATCTCTGAAATGAACATATTTTACAGAAAAAAAAAAGTTGTTAAACAATAGTTATAAAATATAACAAAAAGGAGCCAAGAGACTTTCTTCATTTTGCCAAATTTTGGGCTGTATTGGACATATTTGTTTCGGGGTCTGTATGACAGACACACCTAATTTTTTAAAGTATAAAGATAAGTACATGTAAGTATAGATGTGGTATATATTCGAATATGTTTGTGATTAACCCGACCTTGAAAAATATTGAAGGGTGAGTGGTAACTATTTATGTCATTATTTCGAATTAGAATGATAGCACATCAGAAAAGCATGGCACTCTAATATACGTATCTTGTTAGCCCAATAGTGTTTTAAGTAAGAGCAACATGTATATCGAGAGTATAGGTTTGGTGCGTGACTTACCCCACATTACTGTCATGATCAGAAAGTGTGCATGCTCTGTTTATCGGGAATAAATGTCATAAGGCGATTCATGCGGGTAAATACGATTTACTTCAGAACTAGTATAGATTACTTTAGGTTAAGAGAAAATGTATGTAATTAACAGAACTTTTGATTTTGGCAAGCTTCGTGCTCAGGGGGTTGTTTGGGCGGGTTTAAAGGATTCGGGTCCTGGCTTGGTCTTTGTGTTGAACGTGTAGCTGGCATTTCCAGGTTTGACGTATCAATGACCAAACTGATGACTGATGCAATTCTCTATTTTGACTTGTACCGTGTGTTTCCGTGCCTTTTCGGGTGAACAATTGGCTTGCCTTTGCATGTGTTTGTAGCGGGTGCCACTTGTGGATCGGGATGAGCTCGCCTTTTTGTGATCACCCAGTGTCATCATTTTATAAGGTGAATAATGAAACATGCATGCTCCTGGTGTTGTCGGAATCGTGCAGTTGGCGCTACCTTTGGCAAGGATTTCTTGTGATGATGGAACGGCTTATGTCGTTTTTGTCAACTGATATAATCAACTGTGATATAATGTCAGGGTATATGGTCATGTAATTAAGAAACAAACCGCGAGTGGGAGTTGTTTATTGTACGATAAACAACGACCACGACTCGTTTATTTCTTATAAAAGATATCAACATTACGTACGACCGCGGCAATGCCAGATAAATCCATTTTATGAACAGGAGGGTTTGAATTTGGTCTTTCCCGCATATTCTCACAATTTTCTCGTCTGCACCTTTTCTCCCAATACCGATTAACATTTCGCTCTCACTTTCTGATGCGATTGTTCGGGCATTGCATTTATCTACCTTCCCCAGCTACATCTATTGGGAACAACTCACTGGACACTTCCCTCTCACAAATAACATCAAAGTTACGACGTCCTCAAGTTGCGAGTGCATGTTCGAATCTCCATAAATGACGTCATGATAGAACAAGGTTTTATCGTTAAATATATATCGCTTCCTTCTTCTTTGTTCTTTGCGATTTATCGCGTAGCTGTCTTATATCAAATGTCAATTTATCATTGCTTTATCATGACGTATCCGTGTCATAACCAATCATGTAGCAATAGCAAACACAAATATAGTTGACTTAGAATAGAATAGTGTCATGATATATAATTATCCTTTGGTGTGCAATATTTCCGGTTGATAAATCTAACATATGTTTACTTTTAAGAATAGCGACTGTACATTTTTATATTGCTTTATCAGGTCTCTGTAACATTTGCAAAATAAAACAAATTTAATAATACAACTGAACCTAAATGTATGTTGTAATATCCTTAAGTTCCCGAGAGCGGCATTAGACCATAAACAAAACATAATATCTTTAAATATTATGTAAATAAAAATAATCTCCACAATATCCATACCTCTTTCTCTATGTTTAATGTGAAACATAATAACTCTTTTTAATGATCTGAAGGAACAATAATGACAATAATATCAAAATAATATCATCATTATTCATGTTACTTATCCTCAACTGAAGTAGTCCTTAACACTATACGTTCAGAGAAGAAACCCATGAACATATTATCAATGTAACATACATTAATGGAAATTAGATGAACAGTTGATTGAACAAATGCTATTATTCGGTCGAACATCTATCAGCCAATACTACATTATTAAATTGTGAGGCTACAGTGATTTTTGCAAGGCTACTCTCATAAATGTCATGACGCATTTGAGGCCAGGGTTCCTCTATACTCGCATTTATGTGCTGACTTATTATTGCGTTAAATTCATGATTTACAGTATTCATGAAGAACATTTCACGTGGGACCAACAGAGGGAAATATGACTATCGACTATGTTTTTTTATATTTAGCTAGCTCAAACGATCTATTGATTTGATTTATTGCTATGGTATCCACAAAATAAGTTGGATCCGTTTTTCCGTTTTTGTTGTTCTTTGTGTAACGCCGCACGTAGCAATATTCCAGTTATATGACGGTTGTCTGTAAATAATCGAATCTGGACCAGACAATCAAGTGATTGATATCACGACCACCGATCCACGCAATTGAGATACAATGACATGCATCAACCAAGTCAGCGAGCCTGACCACCCGATCCCGTTAGTCGCCTTTTACGACAAGCATAGTCGCCTATGACGGCAAGCATGGGTTGCTGTAAATCTATTCTTAACCGGATCTTCAAAGGTCAAGTGGGATTCAACTGATATGTTAAGATTAAATAAAACTGAATTATATGTGCTGTTTACATATTAAAGTTTGCCAAATTGTTACAAAATTATTGGCCACAGCAAGGCTACGTATTCACAACTTATTGCGGTAGGCACAGTATAACTCATGAGTCTGGACTGAGGGAGGGCCGTATTCCTCCTTGTGGGTCACCTGCTTGGTAATATGGGACGGGAAAGCTGCAGGGGGTGAGGGCAGTTAAGTTGATGGTACAGACAGATAACAGAGATCATTTTACAACTGTGAAACCTCATTCCACAAAGGAAGAGCTGAAAGTTGAAACTTAGTGAGATTTACAGAACAAAGGCAGTTATTTCTAGTTTCTTACTGACTCTCGAGGACACATTTATTAAAAATTCGTGTGTGCGACACGGCCACCAGTCAATAAAGTCTTCTTTCATTTGTCATCTGAAATACCATCCCTTCGTGCACTTGTGCTTCCTACTCAAGTTACCAAACACATCCTCTTTACGTACACGTGCAAGATATATATTACGCCGAGGAGAATTTACGATTATACGTTGATACGTCTAACTGCTGGCCTGGTATGCAATGTCATATTTCTTATCGCCAGGGATCACAGGTGTGATACCAGTCTCCCTCAAGGAGACGTCTGATTAAACTCTTTGCTTCGTCAATGCTTCGTCTTGCCCAAACTGGTAACTGGTACCACTAGCAACGATACAATGGCGTACAAAGACTTACAATGAGTCAAGCATCCGTCACTCGATTTCCATTTTGATTGATTGTTTGATTGATAGATTGATAGATTGTGAGTGAGTGAGTGAGTGAGTGAGTGAGTGTTCCACTGGTATGTCCGGATCTGGGTACGGGTCCCCGGCTTAGCGTCACCGATCTAGATATATCTATGCAGAAATAGGTCATCCATGC